TGGGGCAGGTGGGGCATGGTCCAAAAAAGGTTGGGAAACACTGGTTTAATTTCTTTAGATTTATTTAAAGATAATTCTTTTATTAGAGAAAAGGAAGATTTATGCTTCATTTCTGGCAACAGTGGTTCTTATAATTTTTTTACCACTTCATTTAAATTTTTTTTATAAGCAACTTTACATTTTATGTTTAAATTAGCTTTTCTAATTAACATTTGGCCAGTTTTGAGACTGGTACCAATTTTTGAGCACTCAAATAAAGTTTTAAATCATATTGCAAAATAACAATTCTTCTAATTTTTTTTTAAGTAATGAAGTACTTACTTCGGCATCTTCGTCAAAAAACTTGTATTTGTAACCACATTCAATCAGCAATATTGCATCAGGATAATTATGCTTAAATTCTAAATATTGTTTCTCCAATGGAGTGTATCTAAAATTTAAATAAATAATTAAGTAATTTTTAAAATAAATTCAAATATTTATAGTTGAATAATGTTCTAAAATAAAACTAGTCCTAAATTTTTTAATGGTAAATTTATATATAATTTCAACCAACAATATTACATCAAGATATATTTGCTTGAATTCCAAATATTGTTTCTCCCAAGGAGTGTGTTAACAATTTTAAGTAAATATTTAAATCATTTCAAAATAAATTCAAATATTTGTATTAGAATAACGACCTAATTATAAAAACATGTATAAATTTAAATGGGGTACTAAAATAAAATTTCAATTTTTTTTGTTTTTTTGTTGTTTTTAATTTGCATCACATTTGACATTATTTAAATAAAAGTAAAAAATTCTAAGAAAATTAAATAAATAACTGAATAATGATAAACCTAAATGAAAATTATCAAAGCAAATGATAAGCTCATGATTCTAACAATAGTTATGGTTATTGCTCGAGTACATAAAGCCTTGATATTTTTGACTGATCTAAAAAAAATTTGTTGCTTTTTGTATGATCTTATCTGTAGTGATAAATTTTTAAAATTTCTATGTGATACATGCTGAGTGCTTTATAACTGTCCCCACCGTCTAGCCTTTAATCCTCACCAAATAATCCTCACAATCCTCACCAATTTTTGTCCTCACCAAATAGCTTTTAATTTCTTAAGGAGAAATTTGAGAAATAAAGACTTCTCTTTTAGAGTAAGTCTTTATTCTCTCAATTTCTTCCTTGATATTGATTCATCAAGTTTGCATAATGTTTTTACCCCTTTTGAATATTATTTCGTGACAATAAATGTACATGTTTTTTTAATTTTGATAAGGAATTTAAAAACACCTATTAAAGATGACGATTACAAAAAAATTTGTTTATACACATGTAAAAGTATCCCAGCAACATCCCACTGTGAGCCAATGACAAAGAAATGGATTGTTTACAATATTAATTTTGGTCTACATAAAAAGTTTTAAACAGTAAAACCTTTACTTCAAATAAGGAGATCAAAATTCACTTGGATCAGCTTATTGCCAATAACAAAAATTGAGCGTGGAATCATACTACTGCTAGAAAGATGGCAAAAGGAATGATGGTGAACGATGAATGAATGATGAAAACAAAAAAAAAGGACAATATATAATTCAATAAAATATTTATTCAATTTAAGAAAATCATCTTTCAATTTCATAAGGGAAAAATAAAATTACTTCCCAAATAACCCAATATATTTAAGGCTAGAGTAGGAAGTAATATTTTAGTCTTAAACTTTATCTATTTTAAAAATAATATGCACGACAGTAAAATATCATTAATGTTTTGTTGTAAAAAAAGATATAGGTTGTTCCTAAGAAATGATGAATGATTTAAGAAAAAGAAAAGATCTCCGGGATTATAGTCACCTTTGTGTCTCAGACAGTTGTATGCTTTGCACACCAGCCACTTTCACCTTCTAGACCAGGGATGGGCAAACTATGGCGTGCCGGAAGGTTTTTATCCGGCCCATGGATAGAATTTTAACTTACCGATCAGTAGCGAATGTAAACAATATACAGTATACATCCATTTTCTTATCATTTTGTTTAAAGCTATTTTTGTTCTTTCTTTCTTAACAAAGTACTGATCTTTTTACTTTCTCTATTTTTGTTCTACAAAAAATAAATTGATGAAAGTAGTTAGCACAGATAGCTTCAATTGGTGGAATGTTAAAAGCAGAAGTTCTCTACAAAAAAGCCGTAGATTGGCTCCAACGAGTGTTTGTCTTTCTTGAGGAGCACACATATGGAATCTAATATAGGTGAATTGTTCTTCACATGTGGTACATTGCACATTTTAAGCTCCAACGAGCAGATTTTTTGGCTGGCGCGAGTTCTAACATTATTTATTGCGTATGGAAAGATTGCACACATATAACATCATTGTAAATAATGATGTAATCATTAAATTTATAAAATGGCTAAGAATTCAGTGCCACATGTTCAATGATGAATGGACTTAAAAACATTCTTTTACTGTTGTAAAAGATGAACCAGTATGTCTCATCTGCAATAAAGCTGCAGCAATTTTTAAAGAATACAACATTAACTGACATTTTACAGCCCAGCACAAGAATGCAAACCACGAAGCAATGTCTGAATGTGAAAGAAGACAAAATACAGAAAGTGTTCTTAAAGAATTATCAGGCTGACAAAATTTTTTCAAGCAGATGAGCAGTGTCCAAGAAGCAGTTATGCATGCAAGTTACATTGTAGTATAAAATATTGCAAAAAATAATAAATATCTCGGTGATGGGGAGTTTGCTAAACAATGCTTCGAGTTTGTGATGTTATATGTCCAGACATGAAAAATAATTTTGAGGTTGTAAGTTTATCACGAAAAACGGTGACATCTAGAATCGAAGCCATCGATAAAAATTTGACATCACAATTTGAGTCAAAAATTGCACTATTTAAATTTTGCTCAATAGTTATGGTAGAAAGCACTGATATGATTGATACTGCTCAATTAGTGTTATTTATAAGAGGTGTTGATGAGAACTTTGAAATTACCAAGGTACTGGCAAGTTTGCATTCTTTAAAGGGAACTAAGGGAAGGGATGTGATATTTTTCGTGAGTTTCAAGAAGAGTAATTAAAAAATTTTTTTTATGGCCACTTTGAAAGTGCCATAACAAAAAAGTTTAATATTTCGACTGATGGGGCACAAAATATGGATTCCATATCTACAAATAAATCTGGATTCCATGGACTCTTTAATCATAACTATCTATACACCAAGATGCTCTGTGTAAATCTGCATTGAATACAAAACCTGTGCTTGATGCAGTAGTAAAGCTTGTTTCTATTCGATACAAGATTTTCTTCAGTCTGTGCAATCTGAATACTCTAATGCACTGTCTTACATGAAAGTTAGGTGGCTTAGTGCATGATGTGTTTTTGAGAGAGTTTGGCAGCTGAAGGAGGACATTGTGTCGTTCTTCCATGGGAAACAGTCTTCAGCAGAGTGCGAAATATTAGAAGATTTTTCACAGATCTTTGTCATATGAACAACTTGAATGTTAAAGATGCAAGGGAAAAATCAATTCATCAATGATATCTGGGCCCATTTCAAAGCTTTTAAACTGAAGCTTAATCTGTGTGTGGGGCAGCTAGCTAAGAACAACTTGTCTTATTTCTCGAGGTTAAATTCATAAGTAAATAAGGAAAAGCTTAAGAATTATGAAGATGGCTTGAAAAAACTATTTGGAATTTGAATGCACATTTCATGATTTCAGTGCCATTCAAACAGAATTAAATATTTTGCAATGCCTTTCAAAGTAAATTGTAGAACAGTGAGGTCGGATTTGCAGCTTGAATCAATTGAGTTGCAATCTAACAATCATCTGAATTAGTTGTTTCTAAATATGCCAAAGTTTGAGTTTTACAAATCATTACCAAAACTAGTTTCCAAAATTCAATATCTCATGCCTAGAAAATCAATGCTATGCTTGCAATGCTATACTTTAGAAAAAATCCCTTCAGAAGTAGACTAATAGACAAGCATTTAGCCCCGTTCCTCAAAATAAGCACATCTCACTTCGAACTTCAATATAAGGAACTTTTAAAAATGAAATTGCAATTTAATTTATCTCATTAAATATTTAAATTAAAACTTGTAAATCGTTTTATTATTATTGCAGAAATTTTTACATGGCCCACCAATTTTTTTTCTCTAGATTTTTTGCCCTCGACCAAAAAAGTTTGCCCATCCCTGTCCTAAAAAGGTACCCCACTGATTTGAAGCTGGATACTCAACTTCAGATTGATGGGTAACAGGAGGTAAAGGCTTCAAACTTCTTCACAATGACTTAACTGCTGTGACATCATAGCTTGGATAACATAATAATCTCCCTAAAACTCTCTTTTTAATTTATTATTATTTTTTTTTGTAAAATACTAAAACCACAAAACATTTTAAAATAAATTCAAAAAGTTTTAATTTGTATTTTCGAAGACAGAAAAAAATACAAATAACTAATAATTTGATGGGAGGTGACCTATAATACAAATAATTTGTTTTGTTTTTTTTCTTCCATAAAAATAAAGGATAAATTATAAGAAAAGAAACAAAAAACCAAATGCGGTATGAAACTATGTAATTTATTATTATGATAGGTATAATTTTAATAATTAATGCAAAAAAAAATATTTATAATTTTTTTTGAACAATGAACTATACTGATGACATACTTAACATCCTTCGTGAAGCAATTTTGTGATTCCTTTTCTAAAGTTGAAGAACGTTTCTTTGGAGCAACAACCATACAATGTGATGGACTTTTTTCAGATAGAACTCCATCATATTTTTCAATTTCAGCTTTCCTTGGACCTTCAACATTATTTCTTGCTGAGTATGATTTTATTCGAGCAATGGTAGATTCAGTGAGTTCATAATTTGAAGAAGAATCAGATGCAGTTGCTTCAGGGTGTAGCTTTGGGTTTTTTTTCAATGGTACATTTTGCTTTTGCAAATAAAAAAGAATTTTAAGTTGTAAAAAATTTACAAGTATAATAAATTATTAATCACAGAAAGAAAGAAAAAAATATCATGAATTTTCTACCATAAAGAAAAAGGACATCTTCAAAGACAATGAACATTAAAAAAAAAAAAAAAGGAAAAATTTTTCTGAAGTATTTTGTTACATTTAAGATATTTTAGTGGGCCTAAACAAAAGTGATAATAAATTTTTAAAAATATCAAAGATCTTGACAATATCTAATTTTGAGAATAGAATTTAAAATTATGAGGTAAGTACTTATTGGTTATAGGGACCATATATATTGGTGGCTGTATTTTTGAGTTGTAATCAACAGAAACATTGGTAGATTCATTTTATCTAATTTTTCATTTGTTGCAAACACAGAAGAACTAGGCAGTGATATCATGAAATTTTAAAAATATAGATGATTGTATACATATCCATTAAATATGTTCATACATTTTGTATGAAATAAAAACAAAATCATGATGTGAGAAATAAATAAATTTAAAATGACTTATTATTCTCTACAAAATAAAATGTGAATACATCATTTATAACCAATCAAATATTTTTTAAGCCATAATTCAACATATATTTTTTCATTAAAGCAGGGGTCGGTTCAGACATTTTGTAAAAGGTCTCGTTTTTGCAAAATTGCGAAAAAACTACTCATAATTTGTGAATATAAAATAAGCATTAAGTCTCATTCTTTTAGCCAGGGTCCTGCTTTTGTGAATTTGTGCAAATAGGGTCCTGTTATTGCAGAAAACATTTTCAAGAAGTTTTTAAATGGTAAATAGATACAAGATTCTGCTCAACAATTGCTGCTACTAAATTAGAGATGCAACACACAAATATTTGGTATCAGCCTATACTGCTCAACACAGAATATTCATTTCGGATAAATAATGGAAACAAAATCACTCACATTTTTAATAATTTCAATTGAGATATTTTAAATAACACAACTTAGTAATGTATCACTTTTAATGTGTTACGCATTAAGTAAACTTAAACAATTCTTAAATTTATAATATTTTATTTAAAAAATTGCCAGAAATTAATTTTTATTTACATAATATTCTATTAATTAATTTTATGAATAAATATAAATTGTTTAATTATTTATTTACAAAAAAAAATAATAATAATGATTTAATATTNGCGCACACAATGTTTGTAAAAGTAGAAATATTTTCTTAGAATACTACATTTGGAATTTAAACTTAGTTTGTCTCAAAACGTTCTTTCCCCCCTCCCGGGAAGGGTTTATTTGATTAACAAAACAATAATGAAGATAAACAATTTGTGAAAAGTCCGATTGAAAGATAAATTATTTTGTGAAGATTCTGTTAATGGACCCAAATTTCTACTAAACAGACTCCTGATTACAAGAAAGATTTTCATATCAATACCTGGGTCAAAATAATCAATAAGCATTTATGACTTCTAGAGGATTGCTGTGAGAAACTAAAGAAACATAACAGAAGAGGACTACGGCCAACTCGAAGGGTAGGGACAGGTGGGGTAAGGTGCATGCATGGGGTAAAGTGGGTATATGTTAAAAAACATATATTTTCGCCGTTTGAGTTGATATAATTTATTGAATATTATTAGAGACATTTACTGGGATAGCGGCAAGTATTTTTATTTCAGATTTATAAACTGATAAAAAGATTAATGCTTACAAACTATCTGCTTATGTTTACTATATAAAGTATGTTAGTTTAAGGTATTGATGAACTTTCTTCTAATACCATTAAGAACTGTCAAAAACTATTAATTTTAGTTCAAACCTGTACATGGACATCTAAAGAACAAATCAACGTAGAAATTTAAGAATAAATTTCAAAATTACATTTATTATGAATTGTTTTCTGAGTTGGGGAAAAGCGGGTTAGGCTTCAAGTGTTGTTTGATAGGGGTATTTGTTTACTTGTGTTAGCTTTAGTAAGTATCTAATGCTCAATATTTAATAATGAAGCAGTAAAAAAAAATTTACTTGTTTGATTATAGCCTTACGTAATAATTTTAATGCAGAAAACTAAATGTTTTTTAAATTTTATTTTTAAAGGCAATAATAATAAGCGGAATAACAATATAGCACAGTCTTTTCATGGAAAACTAAACAATTTCTTTGAAATAATTAAATTCAACAAAAATAAATGCCTGTTATAAATAGTAAAAACACTTACAATTGCTACAATAGTTATTAATTTTTCTAGCTTTTTAATGAAACTGTGAAGTATACTGCATCTGAAGTGAAATCTAATTATGATAGCCATGAACATACTCTTTAATTTAATAATATGAAAAAAATATATTCTTTAGCATTTGTTTTTTTTATATATAACAATTGTACATTTATTTAAGAGCATTTTTATTTCTAAAACAATATTTTGATATGTTTTTAGTGAAACATATATTAATTTTAAAACTCTACCTACTTTACCCTATTCTGGATGTAAAGTGGGTTTATTGAAACTTCCTCTTTTGAATTCATTACCGTAAGAAAATAATCGAACAAAATAGATAAGTTATGCCTCATATTTAATCTCAATGAATCCTATTTACATATATTAAAATTTTCTGTAAAATAAATTTAATAAATTGGTTATAGAACCCATTTAAAAAATAAAAAAAACTAGACTATAAACTCCCAGCAAACCTCTAGGAGATATTTTTTTTAAATATTGGTATCAGTTTATGCCAACTACTGGAATAAGATGGAATTCAAATTGCAAAAATTTAAAAAAAAAACATGCTGAGGTGGCTACAAGTTATATCCTTTAAATTGATCCCCTACTAGAATGTTTTAATTCCCCCCTTTTATTAAAAAATTTCTGCAGATTTTATTTCCCTTTAGTGCCTTGGTAAGGAGTGAACTGGTACCGATGTGAAAATATCCCGAAATATATTTTAAAATTTGGGAAAACTATTTAAATTCCTATTAAACTAATAATTTTTTATGCAGAAAAAGTCGAAAACTTGGTTTGACCGAATAAATAACAAAAGTACCCGAGTATTCGTTTCATTCCTTGCTGGCAATAAAAAGAGAAATTATTTCAAATACTTACGATATTATCTGGCGTTTCATCAATCTTTCGTCTTCGCGATATAGGAGTGGATTCTGCCGAAAAAAACTTGGAAATAGACGGCTGATTTCCATAATTTTTCTTATCGGCGACAGCTTTAATTTTTCTATTCATTTTCACAATAAATGAATATTAATCTTTTGAACTAAATATTTATATTCTCAAACATTATAAAAACTATAATTATTTCTTTCTTCTCAAATATAATGATTAAAGTTAATATTAATGATTCTATTTCAAAGCATTTTCATAAAAATGGAAGAACGACAGCAGAACACAGAATGCATGATTGTTTTTAGATTTTGTTTGTTTAGGTTCAAGCATCAAACGATGAGCCTTTATAAAAGATATATTTTTGCTTAGAGCTTTTACTGTCTAAACATTGACACACGTTATTAAATAAGTTTTTTTCATTAAATTATATTATTTTTACTAAAAATCAGTTATAAAAGTACTTTTCTAACATTATTTAGATTATTTTGTTATTTTTTTTAACGCACTGTCTTGGCATCTGGTTTTACAGAATTCGGTTTGAAATCTGGAAACGAATACGGAAAACAGTCACCTGGGCTGTCTGCTAAAGGTAACGTAAATAAAGAAGGTGATATTAACTTCAGGTCAAGGGTTTTTTGATAGACGTTAAACGGGCCGAGCTTTTATAACTGAATCTATCAAAGGTCATACGTGTTTCATTTCTTTCACAGAAATAGACATAATGGGCTCCAGTGCAATAACCACTATTACAATTGGTTTGGCTTTATTACTAGGTGTAACTTATTTCAAATACGATGATACTTTGAACCATTATCTTACAAGTTTAGGTGTTCCGAAAGATTATTTAAAAATCATGTTTCCTAAAATATATGAAAAACAAAATGATGGGGCTGGGATGAATAGTAAAAACAAGCAGATACTTCTCAGGCCTGAAGAATTAAAAAATTATGATGGTGGACCAGATAGTAAAGGACTTTATTTAGCAATTTTAGGAGAAATTTTCGATGTCGAAAAAGGAGCCCAGCATTACAGGCCTGGTGGAGGATATGCATTTTTTTCAGGTAATTTTATTTTTTTCATTTTACTCACTTTATATTAAGATTTATGATATTTATTTGTAGTTTATAATGACATCAATACACACGTAAAATTTGTTGTTCATGCATATTGCTGTTATAATTTAATGATATATTGTGCAATTGCTTTTGTGATTCTATTATATTGGCTCCAAATTGTAAGGCATTTTAACTTATTGGCCCAGTAGCTAACTGATCAGCTAACAAACTATAATTTTGCAAAGTTTTCATACTTTTAATTTTGGAGGATGATTCCTGTATCTGTACCTGCAATGGAAGGGGAGAAATTAAAAAGATATCATATTAAGGATAAGTACATAAGTAGCTGCCACCCATGGACAAACCATTTTTTTAAAAACATTTTGAAAGTTAAAATACTTTTAGTACCTTGTCAAAGGTAACTTGCATAGATATGTACAAATATTAAAATATACCTGTTTTGTTGCTCACTGTAAGTTTTAGAACAAAATTTGTATTATTAATTACAATTAAGGCAATGTTTCCATACTGATACTGTTCAGGCTTACTGAAAATGCCGTGTGTAATTGCCAAACTCTTATACTTACATAAAATTGAAATATATTTAAAGTAGATTGCCCAGATATATATATATCAGTTTTACCCTTTATTCTATTCTGTGGCTTTTAATAGTGTCTTTCATTCCACTGCTCAATTGTCCCCAAAACTTGCTGACCATTTGGTCCCAAGTAACGATACACGAATCTTCCTACAATTGAAATATTCAGTTTCATAAGTTTTCTCAGTTCCTATGATTCTTCTTCTAATTTTTAAAACTTACTTACAATGCAAATTTTAATATGTAACCAAAATCAATTATTCTGATTAGATAATTGTCATGTCAAGTCTTCTATTGTGAGGTGTATCATTGATGTTGGTTTGACAGTTTCAACCTGTGAATCATAGTTTGATTACCCCTGGACACACTATAAAATTTCAATAATTTAAGTATAATGTAAAAATTTATGCAAAGCTTTTAAGTAAACCATTCATAATAAATAATTCTGCCGAAGCGACAAAGACTTTAAAGAAATTCATTGCATCTATGGCTGGAATAAAACAAGACATTTTTAAAAGTGCTTCATCCAATTGAGATTAGTAATTAAATTTTTTTATAATGGAAGCACTATGCATTTGTATTAAATCAATCAATTGTTTTGAATATATTTATTAATATAATTTTAGTGTTTTACTCTTTTATATTAATTCTTTGATTATTTTGGAATTTTGAAACTATTTACTATTTAGAAGGTCAGGGAAAGTACTCATAGTTAATATGTATTTTAAAATAAATTGTATAATTGTACATGTAGATTTTTTTCTTATTAGTCTACTAAATGGTATTTTTGGACTACTAAATGTGGTCATTTGGGTCCTTAAATTTTCAATGCTGGTGTGATCCATACATACACATGAAATTTACATTCATGTGTGTAGGATATGAAACCGAAATTATGGAGGTAAGTGGTGAGAATATACACATATTTAATACAACTCATACGAAATCCTCTCAAGTATATTAAATTCAATTAATAATAATATGTTTTAATAATATGGCTGAGTTTGTAATAATATGGCCCGGTGGCTGAGTAGCAGCGCTTCGCACTCTCATGCTACAGGTCCTCGGGCCGGGTAAGGTTAGCTCAGCCTTTCATCCGCTCAGCGGGTCAACAAATGAGTACCAAGAATGTACGGGAACTAAACACTGGGGAGTTCCGCTTTCGGCTGTCTTCATAACTGGAACATTTGCTCCTGCACCCCAGAGCCCAAGGTTAAGAAGACTGAGATGTGTTCAGTAGGCCTTGGCACTCTATGGGCTGTCGCTCCACTGAGTTTAGTTTATGAGTAATTTTATTCAAAATGGAAAATACAAAGAAGTTACCATCCATAGTTCAAGATATCCTGAATTTGTTTAGTATAATGATTGTGCTTTATTCTCCACATAAGCTTTGAAATTGCGAAGTAAAGCATGACAATGTTAACTCACTTTTCAATTTTTATTTTGTTGCGATATTCAGCCTTTTGAATAGCAAGCGTTGGAACCCAGCTTGAAGTAGCAAAAGAGATAAGAACTCTCATAGCTTTTCCATTAAGGACTTGTCTTACGTATTCCTAAACTTCATACCCTCTTTCTTTGAGTTTCGTTTTGTATTAAATAATAATAGATTACTATTTGAAGACTGATATTAGATTTGAAGTTATGAACATCTTGTAGCACTATCCTCTTGCTGTGTAGCAGCCCGGAATGTTGGTATACACACTTTGGGTATATTTGTGTATTGGTAACTGTATTTTCCAAAGCCTCAAAAGGATTTTCAACTTGCAAAATTTAAAAAAACCCAAAGACATGCAAAGGTTTGCCTTGGGGTGACTATAAGTTATTATTCCCTTAGAATTGGTCACCTTCTATGGTGTTTTTGTACTCTCATGTGGGCAATTGTCCCGAAGTTGGAAAAACTTAATAATTATTATGATTATTTTGTACAGGTATTGTTGTGGAAATCTTCCTTTCTTTGTCAATTCATCTAAAAGATTATTACAATGCAAACATTTAAGTAAATAATTTGTAATAAACTTATTATATTAGCAATTTAAATTGTTGTTTTATTTATTATTAATATTTATTATTTCAATTAGAATGTTAAAAATATTACAAGTTTTAATATCACAATCTTTTTTTTTTATTTCAGATTAATTACATAAAAGTTTGACTATAGTATTTAGGTACTGATTAAAATTGGATCATTTTTCCCTGGATCTCCAGTTTTTTTTAAAAACTTTCTTTATTTTTAATCCGGATAATAACATTCTGTAAGAAGCAAATTAATCATAAACTTTTCATGATTGTTTTGAGATTTTTTATTTTATTAAATTATACTGTGTGCTAGTTGTTTTAATAAGTTGTTTTTTATGGTATTTAATTTCTGTTTAAAAGTTTTTTCGATTGAAAACAAAACTACTTAAATATTTTTTGTCTAGGATTTGAAATTAATTTTGAATAATCTTTCCATGCTTTCTCAGAAGTTTATTTCTTATTGTATACTAATTAAATAAACTATTAATTTGCATTGTTTTCCAAGGTATTTTCTTTTGTTTTTCTTTGCTCTATGATAAACTGCATAAGAGTTTTCCCTAGGCTGAAATGTAAAAACCAATTATGTGTTACTTTTTAAAAAATTTCATTATAAAAATAATTTTGTTAATTATTTGCTAAATTACTTTTTTCTAGGACGTGATGCAACTCGTGCTTATATAACTGGTGATTTTAGCGAAAAAGGTTTGGTTGATAATATTCTTGATTTAAAAGATGATTCTATTGCAAGTATTGAAGACTGGATATCTTTTTACAGAGATGAATACAAATTTGTTGGTAATTAAAATCAAATTATGCATTTATAAGAATTTTGTATGTATTTTTAATTAAAATTTGTTTCCATTTATACAGTGTTGGTGGATGGCATGCTTAAGTAAGGAATATAAATAAAAATGTGAGAATTTAAATACAAGGAAAACAAAATCAAAAGATATGCTTGTTAGCAAACACTGCACTTCATCAGGGGACACACCACCCTGCCAACATGCTGGACCCTTTCTGTTGTCAGTGGTGAAACCAAAAACCGACAGTGCTCCGAGATATTTAAATTCTCGCATTTTTCTTTATATTGTTTAATTAAGACAATTTTGGTTGTAATTGCTTTTTACATATTTCCATTTTGACTTATGGTTTTTAAATTAAATTTTGTTCTTAATTTTTATTTAACTCTGTTTTCATACTTTGGATGCTTAAGTAAAGGTCATAAAATGTACATACATATATATATAGAGGGAGAGAGAATATTTTTTTTGTGAAGAAATTTGTATAATTATTTAAAATGTATAAGAAGAAATATGTAAATGTAAAGAGAACAATAATAATTTAAAATGTAATGGAAAATTAAAACCTTGAAATTATAAAAATATTGTCAGTTGACAGGTTTTTGACTTGTGTCATTTTTTGATAATTCTAACCCTGGATAAAACTGTTTCTTCAAAAACATAAAAAGAATTGTATTTATGTAATTGTATAAATATTGCTATTTACATTTAATTATTCACATTCCATGTAATTTATTTCTTAAAATCACATATTAAATAGTTTTTTTCTTATGTTGTTTAAAATGTGTCTGAAAAGAAAAAAAAATCCTTTAAATAATAAATATAAACTTTGAATCAAAAATCTAAACTATTTTATGAAGTATATCTCTTCATTTTATTTCTTATATGCATGTTTTGTTAAAATAAATTTGGTTTCTATTTACCTTAAATTAAAATGCATTACTTTGTTTGAAGGTTACGTGGTTGGTAGATACTATAATGAAATTGGAGAGCCAACTCAAGAGTTATTATCCATAAAAGAGAAACTTAACCATGCTAAGAAAAATAAATACACAGAGGAGAAAGAATATAATTTCCCACCATGCAATTCGGAATGGAGTAAAGAAAAAGGCAGTAAAGTTTGGTGCACCAAAAAGAGGTATTTTTTGATAGGAAAAAATTTTAATATTGTGGAGGCTTTATTATTTTTAAGTTGTCAACTTTTACAATTTAAATATTGATGAAGTATTTAAGTTTGTAAATAATAACATACTAGACTTAAATACCATATATTCTGGTGTATAAGTCTATCTTTTATATCCTTAAAATTGTTCGAAAAGTAGGGGGTCGACTTATACACCGTTAATAAAATTGGCCATTCATTGATTGTGAAATATTGATGCATTATAAAGATTGAGCTAGATATAAATAATTCAGTATCAATTAACATATTTTATTTCCCTTTATTTATAATGTTCATCTCTGAATTTTTATAAGTTATTGGATTTCTATTTAGTTTCTAATTTTCTTGACAATTCTAACTTCTGCACTAAAAGAAATGAATTTAGTTTAAATGATATCTTTAGTTATAAATGTTAGTGTTTTTATTTTAAATGATTGTTTTAGTTTTAATATTTTAATAATTTTAGGATAAATGATTTGATAAATTTCAAATACTATGTAAAAATTATTTTGACAGAATGGTTATTTTATTTTGTAAGCAATCTGATTATCAAAGATAAACTTACTTACAAGGTACATAGCTATATTAATGCTATTAAAAACATAATTAGTATAAAATCTGTGCCTTTTTTTATTGAGAAAATAATGGCATGTTTTGTGATCAGGGTTCTATTCTAAAATGGGGAGTAAGAGGTACAACCAAAGTAACAAAATAATTCAAAACTGCATTTTCTTTTCACTGACTTATCTAAGCTAAATGTAATACAATTTTAAATTATATTTTAATTTTGTATTAGAATGCAGTTTTGAATGCAGTTTTGAATTAGTCAGGTTACTAACGGTGCCCAAATCACTTGGTTCACAATGCTTAGGACTTTTTTTATTTCTGTTAAATTTACCTCCTAGTGCATGAAAATATCATCTTTAGAGTGATATTTTTATATTTATTTAGAGTGATATCCTTTTTTTTTCGCTCATTGTATATGCATGGAGGTTGTAAATATAGATTTTAAATTGAACTTTTTCAGTGGTGGAGTTGATCGCTCTTGGGTAGGCGTGCCTCGTCAATTGCACATAAAAGGCAAAGATGCTCGATGTGTCTGTGTGAAAAACCATGGACCACCTTCAACAAATCCTGATTCTGTTGATCATCGAGATCGTGGGGACTTAGATCATCCAGATTTAAAAGAATATCCTGGCTGCTCTGCTTCTTCAGATACTTGCTCAGTTGATCATCCATAATATTCCGATGATCATTCACATCATTCAACCATCATATCATTGTTTTATCTCCTCAAGATTATTAAATGAAGTGAAATGAGCTCATCGAATGTTTATGAAAGGAGTAACTCCCGTCCAAATATTTAACTTTTTATACTTTAATGTTGCTTTAAAGTAAGGGTCTTTAACTTTTACTAATATTCAAAGTGATCAAGGAGACTTAGATCATTCAGATTTAAAAGAATATTCTAGGTGTTCAGTTTCTTCAGATACTTGTTCAGTTGTAAAATAATATTCAAATGATTGCCCATTCTATCGTATCATTCTAATCTCAGTAAATGAAAAGTTCTATCATGTTATATGAAGCAAATAATCTCCTACCCAAATATCCAGCTTGTAATAGCTTAGCATAGCCTTATACAGTGAAACCTTTTGGGAGCAACCACTCTCTGTTCCACTGTGAACTTGTCGTTAATGGAGGTTGGTCGTTCTTAGGGGTTACCTCCATTGACTTCAAAATGTTATTGAAGGTACATGATTTTTCATAAACGATTTAAATTTTAGTCTGAGTTATTTTCTTGATGCGAAAATGACACTTGTGGTGGCATCATGAAAACCGGATCGATGATTAAAATTTACCGTCAATAAAAATGATCTGTACTGAAATAATTATGAATAAAAACAAATTTACCAATTAGAACTATTTTAAGTAAATGAGTAATTATGTTTTTCATTTAAGTTTGCATTTAATTTTATATCATAAAAAATAGTTAACTTTAAAAAATGAAAAGAGGCTTGTTTGTTTGATATGCTAGTTTTTTCTAAAATAACTTTTTTTAAAAATTTAACTTTCAATTCTAAAAATGAATCATTAATAGCATTGTCTTTAGTGCACTCTGACTGCAACGTTAGGTTGTAGATCTCTTTCAGAGATTTCAAAGAGAGCTCTCTAAATAAGAATCTCACATAAATATTTTGAACACCTTTTAATCTACTTATTTGCTTTGTTAATATTTTTAGTTTTGATATTTTTTCTTATTTCCTTATTTGACTTTTCCCAGCATTTGGTGCAGAGCTTTGCCCGGTTGCTGGGAGAGGTTTTGATGGTCTTTCCTAAAGATTTTTTTCAACACAAAGTTGATGGAGAAAATTCCGTGTCTTCCAAAAATGGTTGTAAATGGAGGAGGTCGCTACATAGAGATGATCTTTCTTGGAGGTTCCACTGTAGTAGATTTTTAGTTTTATTTTTAATACTGAAGGACCATATTAATACATTCCTTAAATTTCTTACATTCTTCAAAATAAGCATGATTCAGGGCATATGAAATATATTGCTATCTTTTTGGCACATTACTTTTAAACACACTAGCCTGGAAATATCGCAAGTAGGGAAATAGTGAGTGAATTTTTCTTTTCTTTCTTTTTTTTAACGGCAGGCATTGAACTTTTGTTCTTAAGCTCGGAAGATGCCAGAAGTGTTGTTTATTTAACATTACCCATTGGGCACCTGTGAACCCAAGTCACGGAGGTGAGCAACATTATCCACGCCACACTGTCAGAGATACCCGTTTATAGGGTGGGCCACATTCACACATCACACAATAGAGAACAACACACAGAGAGAAACATCCATGCCCTGAGAGGGATTCGAACCCACAACCATTAGCTTCACAGTCAGTCACACTGACTGCTCGGCCACCTGGCCGGCTAGTGGGGCTAAACTTCATTCTATCATTTTAAAGGAAGGGAGAAGAAAAGAATGAATTAAATTTAAAAATATATGTATAATAAACAATTAACTGGGTTTAAAAATTCATATATGATTCAACAACTACCTGCATTTAAAAATGCGTGTATGATACTTAACTAACCATATTAAGAAATACATATAGTCAACCCCGCTTAAAGGAATATGGGCTTGTACTATTCAATTAAGGGGTAATTCAATTAAAAGAGGAGTGCATTATTCAATTTTAAGTGCTTAATTTTTTAAGAAATTTTACTTTTTAATGGTTTCTAATGCATAGTGTAGTGCTTTGTCTTATACATAAACTTAATTTTATGATACAGTTATAATTTAAACTGTTAGTGTTGGTATTATAAAATATAAATGTCATTTAAAGTTATATAAAAATAAATCTATGCTAATAAAAAATTAATACAGGTACTATAATATTATTTTGTTCCTTTTGAAAAAATTTGTATTTGAAATCTGTGAATTTTTATACCCGTTTAATTATGTCAGTTTTTTAAAATTCGATTTTCCCTTTCCTTTTTTACTATGACTTGTGTATTCCTTTCAAAGACTTTCAATTTTTTTTAATATTTTTTTTAATCTTTGAAATTTGAGAAATTCCAAATTAATTTGCTATTTCAGTTTGGAATTTTTGAAATTTATTTCTTCCAAAACTTTTCTTTTTCTTTCTTTTTCGATTATTTCATATCATTCCTTTTTACTCTCATCCTTTAATCACTTGAGTAAGCAATGATTATTCTACTTTAGAGAAAGACACACTGTAGGCTAGTGTGTTAGATTTTTGAAACTTTTTCTTATCAAAACAATTAGCACACTAGGAGAGGACTATAAGTCTTCACTGTGAAACAAATCACTCTGTACTTTTTTACATTCGAAATAATGTGTGAGTGAAGTAAGTCAAAGAGGGGTAAAACCCCTTCATTCACTCTAATGTATAACTTCCAACAAGATTTTAATTCTTAAACTATCACCTGTTCCGAGCAATCAATGAACAGGAAGTCCCCATTGAAGTGACCACCTATTGTATTCTTATCTTCTTAACTGAAAATTTCATGCTAGCCGGTAAAACATTTCTTAAAGATAAACAGATTTTTTCATTTCAGTACCTCTTCTGTATGCAATTTAGCGAAAACTGGAAGCAACCAATATTCATTTAAACGAGAAAATTCAACATTAGTTTCATATAAAATGATTTGGTTCCATTAAATTTTATTCGTGTTAGTGTGTTATTCGATTATTCGAAGTGGGGAAGACTCTATATGATGCATGTTACAGATTAAAGAAGATCAATAGCAATCAGTCATTGTAAAAATGACTGATTTCTAGGCCAATGGTAGAAAATTATGGTTAAATGAAAACAACATATATTTTAGGTTACTCATTTGGAAGAGTGGGGATGTTTTTTTTTAGCATAAAGTGCCTTAGTGTGCAGAGTGCCTAAAACATTCTTAGTAAACTACATACTGAAAGACCTTACTTTAAAGAAAACTATTAAACTTCTGATCTTTGATCTGAATTTATAATTGTTATCTGTCTGGAATATATTTTTCAATGGTTCAATATGTCTCTTGATTGAAAGATGTACCATCCCAGATTGCAAAATAAGTTTTATTTTGACTCAGCAAAAATCTTTTAATGTAAACCTAAAAATGTTTGTTATGCAATTTGCGTGTAAACCTTTTAACCTTAAAACGAGATCTGTAACAATCTGCTCTATTCTACGCACATTACCCTAATCCAAACCCTTAGAAAACAACCTTCTATATAAAAACCTTAAATCGAGGTTGACTTAGAGTTTTCAAGCATGAAAAAAATCCCTGACTAAAGCTAGTCTAAAGGTGAAAATAATCTTAAATCTAGGTCATTATAAGGTTTCTTTTCGCAAAGTCTTGTATGCTCAGCTAAAATGCACCTTGTCTTGAAATTTTAATGGACAATGCAATTTGATCCTATCGAAAGTATGACGTCAGCTAAAACGTCATGATGGACATAAGTGATAATACTTTTTAAAAAGCTTTAAAATAATATTTTTTAATCCTTTTAGGATGAAAGGTTTGAAACTGCAATATTTTTGCTTTATTGAAAAAAGGTTTTTAGTACAAGCATTTTCGTGACAATAAAAAAAGAATTCCGACACAAGGTTGCCTTAAGGTTACATGCTATCTGGGATGACAAAAGGTTTTTTTTTTTTCCATCTCACATGAAGGTTTTTAAGTTAGGGTTTCTGCCTCTATGATCGTTCATTGATATAATTTTGGAACTTGAAAGTGAGAAAAACAAAGTACTGTAATATAACTTCAAAGTAACATATTAAATTTCTCTGCATTTATAAGTGATATCAATCTATGATAAATAATTTGTAGTTTCATGCATTGATTGATTGAAATATATGCAATTGATATAAATTAAAATATATCTATTTTCTGATATCTTCATTCCGAATTCAAAATAATTTTATTTGTCACAATTGAAAATGAGGAGAAACGATAATGTGTGTTGTAATAACGATAACTAGTGTTGTAATTAAATTATCTTAATGTAGTTGATACACATTATAACTTAATTATAAAAAAATATATATTTATGACTCAAAATGGAAAAATATTGTGTTATCTAGAGTTATAGATACTCAAAACATTTTTCACATTTTTTTTTTAACTTCACATTTTGTACTTTTATGCGTAGCATTGTTTTTTTATTTTATTTTTATTTTTAAGTGGCAGGAACTGTAAAGGTTTCCCTGTTCTTACTTTCAAAAAAATACAATAAATAAATGACTAAAAACAAACAAACAGCTGAAGCGATTGGTGCAGTTGGCTGCCACATATAACTGAAACAAGAAAGACTTTCTAAATTTTGCTATTTAAAAAGTTTTGCCATTTTAATGGCAAAACTTTTGTTTGTTGTAAAATAGCAAAACTTTTTTCTGTATTTAGACTCAGGTCATCAATTCTAAGTGGCAACATTTTTTGCCATTTCTTTTTTATTTTATTTTTGATTCAATTACTTCAGCTATTTTCTTTTTTTAATTTACACTTTGTTAAAAATATTGTTGAATCAATTTTAATAATCAACAGTTAGCTGCACTTACTGTTTGACTAGTTTTAAAAAGAAGCCAGCTCTTTGTTCTTAACTTTCTAAAATAAAGTAAAAGAAAAATAATAATAATTATAAAAGTAGATATTGCATCTTGTATCAGTAACTTCAATTTTAAATTATATTTACGTATTTTATATATTTTTTATTTTATTTTTCACCAGCAATGCAATTACATAAATATTTAGCGTACAATCTTTAATGGTTGATATTAAATGTATAAATTTTTTGTGTATAAATAAAAAATTGAAATTCTACCCTTGTCTTAAAATAAAGTTTAATTTGCCCGGATGATTCTTGGCTTAAAAGCTTCGTAAAACATCTTTAATTTTTTTGAATTTATGTAATTTGTGATGTTCATAGAATCAAAATTTATTACATGTGGATAATTTCTTTTTATTTATATACTGAATACATTAAAAATAAAGTGAATTTTCTAATACATCGGTAGTTTTTTCATTTGCATTTTTCTGAAAATTTTATTTCTTTCTGCTTATTAGATATGAATAACTTAATATTAGGAATTAGGGTGTGTTATCTATACCATCTTTACTGTTGTTTTCACGTTACCATTAAAGCAAATTTTAAAGTGATCTGTTAGTTGTGTGGTTTCGTCATACAGTAATGTGAAAAGTCTTGACTTCGATGGCCGGTGTATATATATATATATATATATATAAATACAAGAAAACACGAAGAAAGTTAAGATATATATATATATATTTACAGAGCTTATCCACAGTTCCCTGATATTGCTGAGACGACCTAGGCTGTAAATAGCACATGCGCAGCGGCGTGGAGGAAGAGACTAGCAAGCTACTGGTCAGCCTTCCCCTAGGAAATAGTTCTGAACTTATACCAAAAAGAAAAAGTATTCTCTACTTATAAACTACAGAATTTATGTAATTGTTGATAACAATAGTTTGCTAGATATTTGACAGTTGAAAACTAGTAATTGTACTAGCTCACTTTTTCCTGTTTGATCACAAAACTGCTATTGTTATTTTGTCGCAATTTACCCACGTTAATTATTTGCTAAGCAGATTGTTATTACTTATTAGATTATTGAACAGAATTAAATTAAACCCGATTTCAAGTTTATAAGGCAATTTATTTCAAGGTTATGAGCATTTTTATCCAGCTGTTTATGGTTCACTACTTCAAAAATTAGCGAATTTCGGAAATCTTAAATTGTTTAGAAATAAGTCAGTATAGTTTCTTATGCACTTTTAATGCTGAACTGAATAAAATCAATTGCAAATAAAAACATTTATTGTTGAAAGTAATATGCATTTTTTTGAATTTCATCCTATGGGATGTGTTTTTTATATTTAAACAAATGTTTGTAACAACTAACTATTATTTTGATTCTGCTCGGTATTATAAGTTATATAGGAGATATTATACTCAACTTATTTTAAAAGTATTATTTCAAATCATTCTCTTTTAGACATTTTCCTCACAAAAAATTACTCATAACTTTAAAATAAATGCTCCTTATCAGCTTGTAATTTGTTCTATTCGATTGAGTGTAAAAAAAGAATAAAAATTGGTACATAACTTTAA